AAAGGAATGGATGGACTGAAAAATAATCGCTTCTGGGATTTGTAGGCCAATTATTTGTTCCACCTTATGTCTTGTACATGATGTTTGTTTTTTTTCATTTGCTTGGGACTTTAGCTGGTTGGAATTGATGTTGTGGCGCTTCTAAGATAGCACAAACAGCACATAAAGTAAGTTTCATGGTTGTGTTTACCGATAGGTTGGATGTTTGGATCAATGGATGTATGGAAAGAGAAATGGACAAACTGATAGATGGATGTGGTCGATTCTTTTCATGCCTATAATATGACACTTGATTGCAGTTATGTACTCCACTCCAGCCCACCCCAGCCCCTCTGTCTCTGCAGCAGTGTCCTCACCCCGGCCCCGAGCTGAATGGCTTTAATTAGGTTTAACGGTGACATAGAAGAATGCTTGGAGTCTCTCCGTTATTGGGCATTGATCAAACCAATGTTGTTTTAGTTTCTGAAAGCATTCAAGACTCTGCTGCTCTTCAGTTAAATAAAGAAAAGAAAAACAGTAAAATGGACACTGGTACATCAACCACAGATAAATGTCGCCTTCAAAGGTGTTTAAAAATGTAGTCTGAGGTGTTACAACATAGTCATGTACTCATTCTATCTCTTTCTTTCTCTCTCTCTGGTGTGTTTCTGAAAGCTTCGATCATCCTTCTGGATATTCCTCATCAGAAAAAGGAAAAAAAACATAATGCTCTTTACACTAAATATACATACTGCTACAACATTCTAAATGAATGGTACTGTTGAACAAAATGTCTATGTATGATTAAAGCTCTGGAGATGATGACCTCTGTCTTGTTGTCATTTGTTTTAATAGCATTGTGCGGGTTAAGATTCACTTTAAGATTATTTATCCTGCCAAACCCCAACAGTAATTCAAAGGGAAAATGTTTGTGCCTTTTTAAATAAATCTGCACCATCAAAGCTCACCCAGGCATAATGGGAGAACTATGCGTTTCTCACATTACACAGACGCCTCAGGCTTCTCTACACTTCACCACTGGTAAGATTTAATGTTTTATTATTATCATGACTCAGTTTACTGCTAGGTTTTTTGACAATGTACTGTCTGAATGATTTACAGTTGTTGTTTTGAATGTCTTAAGCGTCCAAACCTGTTGTGCAAGAGTGTGGCCTCAGTAAAACCACCATTGTTTTGTAAATGTCCTAATCATCATTATGTGTCAGTGACACAAGCTTGAAGCTGCAGCAAAAACGAGCCAAATGAAATGTAAAAGTAGTCGTTACCTGAAGGGAATTCTCTTGCCCCACTCCCCCTTCGATGTTTTGGCCATATTAATTGCTACAATGTGTACGCACACATTCTTGCATATCCTTAAGTTGTTTCTGCAAATGTTTTGATGAGCCACACATTTCATATAGGACTTTATGTCTAAATGTTAAATGTGATATTTGTCTTTTTTCCTTCCTTTAAGCCAGGATCCCAAGAAGTTGTCTATTGTCAGTATGTGGAGAACGTGTTGCACCGCATACCCTTTTTTGTCACATGTTGTTGTGCCAATCATAAAAACAATACATTGGAGGCCCTCGTTTGCTTTGTTGGGGTCTTCCCTTCCCTGTGGTGCGTTTGTATAGGTTTTTGTGAATGTAAATGGTCTGCAAAACATTACGCCATAAAGAGTTTCTCTCCCACCTGCCTCAAACACCCTGCTCTGACTCCTTTGTTTACGTGACATCACTGTTTTACTCTCACGTTTCTATTGGCTAGCGGTCTGTCACATTGTACGTGATATGCTAAGGGCGCAAGACTTTTCCTACACATCTCTAAGCGGTTGACTGATCACAACAGAGCCGGCCAGCTAACCAATCATAGCAGACTGGGCTCTGGTTTCAGACAGAGGGTGAAAAGAGGTGCTACAGCACAGGCAGTATGAGAGAAGTGAAGCACTTATTGAACATTAAAGCATGTAAACATCAGAGTCGAGGCACACTAAATATGAATCTGACAATAGCATTGTCATCTTTAAGGTTAAATAGTAAATCACTGGGTATGCTTACAAAAACATGTTATGATCAAATGTAAAAAAGATCACGTTGAAATGTATGTGTTGAAATATTTTAGCCTAGACCAGAGTGGTGAACTAATAAAGTTAGCAATGCACTGCAGAGTCAGCTCTCTTCATCTATTGCAACACATCTGCATCATGTTATAAGACTCTTAAAAAAAAAGCTGCTCCATTGACTCTTGTTTCTGTGCCAGTATGTAACTTCCAGTACCTCGTTGGCGTAGTTCACACCGGTTCTAACTGGCTGAGGAGTGTTTTCCATAATATCAATCATTCCAGGATCATTTAACATGGTAAACGTTTGTAATGTGGGGGCAATAACCTGTGGTAAAGATGACAGCCTGGGCAACACATTAGGCGTCCATTAGAGCTCTGCAGGTAACTGTAGCTCATTCACAGGAAATCAAATATACACCCCATCATGACATGAGTATATCTTTGTCCAAAGACTTGCTGAGCGTTCCCTGTGATTTTCTCCCACGTCGCAGTGCTCTCTTGCTGCTGAAGTCAGCAACCTGAACTAATCCAAACAGGAATCTGGGCTGGAGACTCAGGGTGGCCCTGCTGGGTGCTAAAGGGGCCTTTGACCCTTTGCAGCTTTATGGTGCTCAGCGGCCGTAACCAAGAGACATTTATCCAGACTGCAGGGTGGGTCTGTATGTTAACGCCTGCCAAGCCTCTTACCGAGAAGAACAGCAGGCTGCTGCTCCTCCCGTGTCAGAGAAAACACTTTAAAGAAGCAAACTATCACATCAGCTTATGTAAAGCTGTAGGACTGAAGGAATAATGTGAGCTCTGCAGCGATGTAGGCAATATATATGTGTGTTGGGGCGATATGTTCTTACAGAAATTATGTTTCACATTTGCTCAATAAATTGTTATTGTGACATAAGATTTTGAAACATCCGATTTCACAAAGAGAAAATGAAAACAAAGTATTATGATGAATACCAAACAGCTGGTACCACTGAACAGATGTATATGCCACGTTTTTGTAATAGTTCATCAATATTAGAAAAAAGTAAATAAGTAATTACGTTGTTTTTGATCTTCTCGATGAGGCGCATGATATCACAAGGTTCCTGTTTTTTTAATTAAATCTGATTGCAACAAATTGCATTTCTCATGCCCCTTTAAACGTCAAAGGATTGAGATAGAAATAATCGATTTTGTCTGACTTGACCAATACTGCCTCTGTGTTCTTAAGTTGATAGAAAGACAGTGTTTCCCTCCAGGAAGTGACAAGGATAGGAAATAACTGATAAGACTGTTATTCCAGACAGCCTAGATAAAGGCCATTAATGATATAGGTCGACAGTGTTCTCCACCCTTGCAGTGTAAGCACTAGTGTAATATCCACATTTTCTCCAGCGTTATACTTGCACGTTATTCTTGTGCTTTGTTCCATTGCAGTGTTGAGATGCTCAATCGGTTTGTATGTAAGGCAGTAACAAAATGTGGCTTTGCAAAGCTTACGCCATATCACTTTTATTATTATAGTGTGGCACCAGTGTGAATATGTACATATATCAATAAATGTATCGAATAGCTTATGCAAGCATGTGAAATTCAGCGCCAACATTGAGTGTGTTCCTAGCGTGTCATTCCTGTTCTCACTCCCAACCCTCCCTCACATCCAACACATTGTCCCCCACATGCATTACATCTGGTTGAGACTGGTTTAGAGTGACATGTCAATGCTATACCAGTGTAGGGTACAATTAACTGTGCCTCCCTTGTTCTTTTTCCACATCATTTTTCCGGCAGGAGGGGATTATGAGGCCTAAATCTGTTCTGTAAGACCCTTCCTGGCAGCAGACCTCAACTATGGGAAAAAGCATCAGTTCCTGAAGAATTTAAGGTGCATTGAGTGTTAAAACCAGTTTGACCTGCTCTCTTCATCCCTCCCCTGTTCTTTTTTTCTGCCCCTCTTCTTTCATTTTTCATTTTTCATCTTTCATCTTTGAGTTCCTCTTTTTTTTCCTTCTGACTTGGTTCCACTGTGTTTCTGACCTGAGGTTATGAGAATGGGTGCAATCACATGATGATATAACTTTATTATGCTGCTGCAGCAATGTGACCAAGGCGCTTTCGGCTCTTACCCAATCAGTATGAATGCAAGATGTGTTATACAATTAAAGCTATTCTCTCAGGGTGTAGGTTTATCATTCCCGTTTGTTTCCTTGCCTACATCTATTTAATTTGACCATTCTTTGTTAAAAGGTGATTGACATCATTCCTAATGAACCCAGAACCCTAAGTATATCCTTTCGTCATCCATCCTCTCTTATACCCTCAGGTTATTTTTTAATCTTAGTAGCGTATTAAGCTCTCAACATCTTGCTTACTATTTCTGGACCACTCTCATATTCAATAAGACTTGATTAACCTCTTTTTAGGTTTTAGTGCTTTGTGATTTCATTCAATAGTTTGTGCGTTTTTTCTTAAATCAGTGCTCACCAGGAAGAAGACTCCGGGCAGTGTCCCTGCTGCCGGTGCACTGTGGAGCTGTTATTACATCCATCAACCGGTTCAGACTGGACTCCTGGCAGTAAAAACGATGTTCCTGGAGAGAAGTATCCCATTGGCCAACCAGCCCCCATCGTCAGTACCCATGAACCCAATGCCTTTAGCTTGAAACAAGTATGTTAAGATGAGCTCATCCACTTTAAAGATGTGTAGCCTATATGATTTCTAGACTGAATTCTTATTTTAACTTTTTCTTTTTGAAGTGCTTTATTATAAGAATCTGAGTTGGTCCGGAAACCTACAGGTAAACAGTTGTTGTGGTTGTTAATTCATGTGTCTGTACGTGTTCATTTATTCTGATACGCAACATTTCCGATGTAGTTTAGAGAAAACAACAAGTCCTCAGTCTGAGCCATAAACACATGCAGCTGTGCGGTGCGCTCCTCGCGCGCAAGAGGAAGCAGCGCCTTTCCTCCTCGAGCTGCGTTAGAGCGGCTGCAGGACCAGCAAGAACAGCTTTGAACCGGTTTTGTCGCCTCTACAAAGCACAGGAAAGGATGAACCCTGCGCCTTATTGAAGCAGAGTTCTGACTTGACACGCGGCTATCAAATATCCCAGCTCTGCAGCATCCGCGTGCTTGGTTATGTCTTTTGTAGTTATTTTGTAAGAAGGGATTTTATTGGCGAAACCATCCTACATGGAAAGTTCCCGCAGAGCGCGCGGCTCTGCAGGGTCCTGCTGCTGTTATTGTAGATGCTGAGGTGAGTGCCGCATGTGTTTTTATAACAAGAATAACAAGCAATGTGTGCCTGGGTTTGTATCGAAGTAATAAGATAACATATGGCCAGAAACTACGGTTATTGTTGTTAGGGAATAGAGAAGATGTCATATGAATTTAAAGAAGACCTATACTTTTCATCAGGATATTGTTGTCTTTTAACTTTAATGAAAACTTACCTGTTTACTGTCAACATGCTGTAAACCTGCTGTGTAAGCAAACACATCTGAAAGGAGCTTTGCACCAACCCCGCATAAGGAAGTCTCATTGTAAACAAAGTGTGAGCAACAGGAGTTGGTGTTGCTGCAGTGATGTCTGAAGTTGCTCTGGGCTACAAATTATTTATGAGAGAGCTCTAAAACATCAGTCAGCACAGTGGAGTCTCTCTTTAAGGGTCAACACTCACTCATGGAGGAGGCAGGTTAAAGGTGCAGGAGGGGGGCTCGAAGCAGTGCAGCTTTCTTTACTTTCTCCTCCTCCAAGGTGTGGTTATAGAGACAGGAACAAAAGGGCCAGTTGTCTGTGGGTAACTTGCAGTCAGTCAGTGTTCAGGACCTCACAGGTGACTAGCCTGTTTGCAGAGGCTAACTGCTGCAGCAGCCTTTACTACATCAAGGCTAAAGTCTATGGGCTACACGTAAGCGTACATTTTTGAGGTCCGGTTTAAACACTGTTGCTGATTATTTGAAAAATAATAATTTTCCTGTCAATATTACAAATGGAATGTTTGTTGTTATGTCATCCACAGGACCCCCTTCTCTGCCTGAGCTGTAGCAGACCCCAGGGGGCAGCAGAAACATCAGTGTCATGGCTTCTTCTACTGATGTGCTGGACGGAGGCTGGGGATGGGCAATTGTTTGCGCCTCTTTCATGGCCCAGCTCCTGGCCTATGGATCACCACAGTCTGTGGGCGTCCTTTACCCAGAGTGGCTGAATGCCTTCCAGGAGGGCAAAGGCATGACGGCCTGGGTGGGCTCCCTAGTGTCCGGAGTGGGGCTAATAGCAAGTGAGTAGTGAACTTTGTAATAATGCAATGATCCTCACCATGGGCCAACATAGGGTTAAAGAGACACAACTTAACGTCAGTTTAATTAGATTAGCAAGAGTAATGATACAGCTGCGAAGTCATGTTACAGTGTCCTTTCACAGAGATAGAGCCAAATGGGAAAAAAAATGCAAAAATCTTTCAGCACTATTTTTCCTTCTGATGATTGTTTCTGGCATTTGCTAATTACATGTTCAGCAGTAAATTGGTGTTTTGGCATGACTAACACTTATGGGCAGGGCCGGTTCTAGCTAATTTGATGCCCTAGGTGAAATTTTAGCTGGCGATTGTTTTGAACATTTTAAAGTAAAATGCTTCAATCTGGTGCACTTTGAGCACACAATTACTAGAGACTAGATCTAGGTGGTACAACTCTAAAATGCCCATATGAAAAAGATCGGTTTACATTTTATTAACCAAATAAGTATGTGATCATAACCAATAACCTACCATAGCCAATAACAAATAAATGTAGGCCTAACTTAGGCCTATTTTATTTTTGTTGTTCATTCACATCTTATTTTACCTAGTTAACATTAATTATGTATGCATATGTTTTTATCTCTCCAGTTTTAAACAACATTTTTGGTTTACTGTCCTATAGTATACATTGAAATTATTTCAAACCTGTTTATCCCAATAATTAATCATAAGTGCCTTGGAAATATTTGTTTACATAAATTGTGATCAAAACGTTTGAGACCCACTGTCTATACACTGACAGGGTCCTTTACCTCAATGAGCCTCTCAGCCTCCACCGTTGTCGTAGAAACATCTTCTTTTTATATCCGTTAGAGCAGCTAGCACCATATGCTAATAACAACAGCGCCGGTACCGGTGCACCCTCTTTCTCTCTCTCTCCCTCGCTCGCTCCCACGCTCACTCGCACTTTGGCTTTGTTAAAGAGCTGCGGGCGCCTGATAAGTCAACATCCCCCACTTTGATCACTTACAGCGCCCATCGTACAGGGCAAATGAAACGTGAAACCGGGGTGAAAAGGGTGTTACATTTACTTAATTATGAATGTTGTTACCAGCGCAGCACCCCCCCAGATCTGGCGCCCTATGCCAAAAACCGGCCCTGCTTATGGGCAATATATCTGCTGACGTTTCATTTATGAAGAGATACCAAATCTGCTTAGCAGAGCAGAAAACACTCACCTTTACACCTGGCTTGTGTTCCATCTCAATCTCAATGCCACACGATACCAATGATAACTGGCACATGATGCTTGATCAAAGTCTTAACAATAACATCCATGTGAAATACCAAGGAAGTTGTTTACTAAAGCTTTATTGACTACAGGTGTCAGGGAGTTAATGCATAACATCATTTTGGCTAGAGAGAAAAGGCAATGACGTAAATGATGGGGACTTTGTGGCTCCCTGAGCAGAGTTTCTGTAATTGTTATTCTCAGAGAGCAGAATTAGTGTGAGTCATCCATCCTATGAATGTGGGAGGATCACTTTGCCCTTAATCTGACCGTAGACGGAGGCAAAGAAAGACAGATTGAGGGACAGATTGGCAGAGAAAACACAGAGAGCTAACAAACAGTGTATTTGTTAAGTAACGTTATGTGTATGAAACTTAATACATAAAGAAAAAGAGAAGAGTCTGAACCTATGGATTCAAAGTAAAATCTGGCCTGTGAACAAACAAACCCTTCCGTAATGTCTAGATTATTTCAAAGCTCGATGATTGTGTTGAGCAAACAGGATCAGTGATAAATAGTTGTCTTTCCACTGAAGTCAGAGCCCCCACCCCTACCCCGGTTACTTGCTATCGCCTTTCTCAAAGGGTCTATGTGAAAATCATGACTGGACAGATCCGGCTTTGGTCCGTGCCAATTGTTGGAAGCCTGTCCCAGCTGTCTGACAGCTGCAGCACTGCAGTTTCTGCTACACTTCCCCCGGTTAGCAAGGAAGGAAACAGTAAATATCGCATGACGAATGAGCCAAGTCATCTTTGTTTTTTTAGGAGGCCTTTGTACAGAACACAACAAGTAAAGCTGCCTGATATCATCATTATGTTTTGTTTTATAAACGATTTTGTTCCCATTGTCACTCTCTTATCCCCTCTTTGTATCTCTCCCCCTTTCGTCTCTTTTCTTTGCCCCTGTCCTTTGAACTTCTCCCAGGTCCAATCTGCAGTGCCTGTGTTGACAATTTTGGGGCTCGTCCCGTGACCATCTTCAGTGGCGTAATGGTGTCAGGCGGCCTGATGCTCAGTGCCTTTGCTCCCAATGTCCAGTTCCTCATCTTTTCCTATGGGATCGTGGTTGGTAAGGAACCACTTGATGGTCATCCTCAAGTACCCCTGGAAACACTGTAATACTCTCACAAAGACACTCAGGTAGAGCCTTGGGTCTTTTTATTATGAGAAAAATAATAAGTTTGATGTTTTGTCATTGGAGGTTACTAAGCTTCTGAACCCTCTTACATATGAGAATCTTGAAGCACATTTTATAATAATTTAAAGAAGCAGGGTACATGTCAACTCTGACTATTATGCAACATTAAAAAGTTGACTAGCTCCTATATTACCATTTAAGAGAATACCATTTCCACTCACAGCATGTAGAATCACACTGAGACGTGATACACGTGTGCACTTTGCACCTCTTTGTTTGACATTGCTGTTTGTATTTTTGGGCATGTTGACAGAAAAGTAAAATATGGCTTAGCCTGATCCCCATGTCACCCTTTGTAGCCTCGGCAGCCTTACCAGTGTGTCGGCGTTTTCCCAACACCACCTGTTATCACGCATTAAGAGACAGCTCAGCCGTGTTAAGCCTTGTGAACCCCCTCACTGTCGGCACTGCCTCTTCGCAGAGGCATCTCTGATAGGGGAGGCCATGCATATTTCAAGACAGTTATTTATTTTTAGAGATGCGCTTTGATGATAGCTGTGGCTGAACATACACTTGCAGCTTGTTTACTGCTCCATCATATTCTTTTTTTAATCTTTTACTACTTACTGTACACTGAACAAGAAATCATGCACATTGCCCCCCAAGTTTACAGATGCATGTACATTGTGCATACACCTTTGCATTGATTTCCTGAGTTTATCACATCCTCTAGGGGGGAGATCTTTATTGAACATTTTAAAGTAAAATGCTTCAATCTGGTGCACTTTGAGCACACAATTACTAGAGACTAGATCTAGGGGGTACAACTCTAAAATTCCCATATGAAAAAGATCGGTTTACATTTTAATAATCAAATAAGTATGTGAAGATAACCAATAACCTAACATAGCCAATAACAAGTACATGTAGGCCTAACTTAGGCCTATTTTATTTTTGTTGTTCATTCATATCTTATTTTACCTAGTTAACTTTATTTATTTATGCATATTTTTTTATCTCCAGTTGTAAACGATTTTTTTGGTTTACTGTCCTATAGTATACATTGAAATGATTTCAAACCTGTTTATCCCAATAATTATAAAGGAGTGCCTTGGAAATATTTGTTTACATAAATTGTGATCAAAACGTTTGAGACCCACTGAGATAACTTAGATTAAAGTTAACTATCTAAACACTCAGAGTCCTTTACCTCAGCTTGTTTACTACTCCATCATATTCTTTTTTTAATCTTTAACTACTTACTGCACACTGAAGAAGAAATCATGCACATTGCTCCCCAAGTTTACGGATGCATGTACATTGTGCATACACCTTTGCATTGATTTCCTGAATCCACTGAAATACAAAGAGCACAATGTAACAACAATGTAATCCTTTACACTTTTTGGAATTTAAATAACACATTTTACTTGAATGCCCCCCCTTAACCTGAGCTAATGGAAATTATTTTTCTGTCTGTCTTTATGTTTTGTCCTACATAGGTCTGGGTTGCGGTCTGGTGTACGCAGCCACGCTGACCATCACCTGTCAATACTTCGACAAGAGACGCGGCCTTGCCCTCGGCATTGTCACCACAGGTACTTCTGCCCCCCCTGCCCTGCGATCACTGGGTGCACACCACTTCTCCATGCTCACTTCTTTCATGTATGAGCTGCTGGGAGCCTTGAGATGCTGAGGTAAACATCTGTAATGCAGCAAAGGCACTGGTGACCAGTGCCTATATCTGGATTGGTTTGGAATCAAAACTCGGATGTTAATGGTTTGGGAAGGTTGTCATATACTTTGAAGCTATGGGACAGTTTGATCAGTCCATTATTATTTCAGAACTATTGAGCAATCTCACAGTCTTAATATGATGTGTCAGTGTACACAAGGTTGTGTCAGTACACTGTGATATCACACAGATATCCTCTACTTAAAGATATAATAATTAATAATTTAAGAATAATTACAGAATAATTAAAGATTTTTACAGTTTTCTTGCTTTTATATTTTGACTAGTCGTTAGAAAGCTGTGGGCAGACATTTTGTTCATCCTTATGTAGTTCAGTTACTTTTTCATGTTATTAACTTTCATTATGTCGGCCCAAGTGGCTGTGTCAAAAAAAGGTTACAATCTGGGAAGACATTAATAAGCTTAAGTATAATTTTTGTACCAGTTTGTTATAAAGATGTCAAATATTTAGACAGAAAGAAATATGTATGCCGTTCTGTTTAAAATGTGTTAGATTAAGACATTTAAGATTCTATACATAGTGGCTTCATTTTTTACGGATTAATATGTCTCTTTCTAACAAAAATATAAATGTTCTATCTTTCTCTTCTCACCAGGCACAAGTGTTGGAGCGTTCTTATATGCCTCCGCTCAGAACGAGCTCATCGTGATGTACGGCCTGGATGGCTGCTTGTTGATTATCGGAGCCGTAGCACTAAACCTCATGGCCTGCGCTGGGTTCATGAGGCCCCTCAACATGCCAGGGTACTACCTCAAACAGAAGGCCGCCCTGGAATGCAACACAGAGGAGCAGCTTTTCGAGAAGCCCCCACTGGATGACCTGACAATCACAGCAGGTTCAACCTCAACCACTCCAGATAAATCTCTGATGGTGAAGGAGATGCTTATCACCATTGATACCAAAGACTCAGCCGTTCAGACAGAGAAGAAGAAAAGCAGCTTCCTGGCTGGGTTGGCCATCATTAAAGTCATCAAGAAGAAGCAGCAGGCTTATTCCAAGTACATGCACTCCATGTATGAGATCATGCAGGACCAATCGATGATGTCCTTCTGCATTAGCATCTTCCTGTTCAGTCTGGGGGCTTTCCCTCCTGTGCTCTTTATAGAGGATGTGGCGATGAGCCAAGGACTCATGGAAGAAGTTAGTGTCATTCCTTTGGTATCAATAGGGGCTATCGCCTCTTGTGCTGGTAAACTACTGCTGGGTATGCTGGTGGACATCAAGTGGATTAATGGCATCTTTCTGTATGCCTTCACCATGTTTGCTGGAGGTTTGGCACTGTTCCTTATCCCTCTCACTAAGAGTTATCTGGGACTTCAGATCCTGTCCTTCGTCCTGGGTTTCTTCTCTGGAAACTGGTCTCTCACCTCCTACATTACCACTAAGATCGTTGGCTTGGACAAACTGACTCAAGCCCACGGCATCCTCATGTTCTTCGGGGGCTTTGGGATCATGTTGGGCCCCCCTGTTGTAGGTAGGAAGGCTATCTACATTTGCAATTGTATTGATTGGATAGAGGTCTGTAGATATTTTTATTCTGTTAAAAAAAAAACTAACATTGTGCCATGTTTTAAGAGACAATAAAAAAAACAAATTTTTAATCAGACAGGCAGAGCAAGTAGAAGGGCTTGTTGACTTCAATAGAGCCAGCTTGTCTTAATATAGCTGACTGCTGTATGTGCTGAGAATTCCTGCTGACTCTGCTCACAATGTCTGTTTCTTCTCATCACTTTCCAGGGTGGTTCTTTGACTGGACGCAGTCATATGACTTGGCGTTCTACTTCAGTGGGGGCTGCGTGGAGCTGGGAGCGGTAATTCTCCTTCTGCTAAACCTGCCCTGCTGGAAAAGGAAGTCCTCTGAGAGTGACAGACCAGACGTCCAGTACACCAGCAACTGTGACAAAGTTGCCTCTGTAGCCTGAGTTTAAACACCTTTCATAAAGACTCATATCTCACACCTACTGCCAAGCTATTTTCCGCTGATACCCAAACCTTCTCTGGGAGGACTTCATTTCTTTGACTTTGCAGGTGTCCTCCTTACCTTTGCTGCCAGGTTCTAATATACCAAAATACTTGCCAGAGGTTTTGAAATACAGGCCTTTCTTCTGTACGTTGCCTGCATTTCTCAGGTTCAAACAATAGTGCAGATCTTTTTATAGGTTTGACTGTAATACCTGTGTTGACTTTAATTATTGCCTCATTTTACGAGGTGAACTGAACAATGTTGTTCAACTCCCAAATTTTGCATTGTGTTTACGTAAACACTTATTTTCTCTTCGCTGTAGCTCTTGAAAATAGACATATTGTTGTTCATATTACCTGGGAGAAAAACATTGTTGGTTGTTAATTTAACACAATGAGAACATTTCAAACCACTCTGAAACTGCACACAGAATTCTCCCAGGAATCTCACTGGAACAGAAAATATACAGGGATTGATGAGAGAGGGAGCGCTTTTTGATAATCATCATTTTAGCAACACATTTTTATGGTTTTAATATAATTCATGTCTTAAGTAGACCACTATGTAACTTTGCAAAGCATCAATGATAGTCAATGCCTGTCAACACATAATGCCTGTTGGAACAATTCAAAAGCCTTGCTTTATAAATATTATTTTGAATTCCACATACCTCGTGTTTCTAGGAATGAGAGACTTTTTGAAAAAGTTATGCTGATTCAAAAACATGTAAAGACAATGAAGAGATCCTACTGTATTTCCAACCTTAACAGCATGTTGCTCTTTGTGGCATGATTATCATGACATCTGCTGGCGATTCATTTTGACCAGGCTGATCCTTTCCCATTTCCCATTATTGTTGTGAGTGCTATATGTTTACGTGTGCATTGTGTGTGTACCTGTCTGCACACGCATCGCATACGTGCACAGGTTTGTATGTGTGTGCTATGGATTGTTTGATAAACTTTTATATTAGCAATAGTTTGTAAAGTCCTATGTGCTATTGCATTTTATATATGCACAAAACAGGCCATAGAGCTGTAAAAAAAAAAGAATTTCAACGTTGGAAGATGATTATTGTGGTAATAATTGTAATGAAGACATTGCAATAGGCTTTTAGAATCACTTGAATGTTGCTAAATACACCACTACAAATGTATTTTTGATAGTTCCAGTTTCAGGCACAAGGGTAAATCTGGGACGATAGCTTTTTGTGATGTAGAGTATTTACAAGGTGCAGATAAGCTAGAAATAGTACAGAACTAGAGGAGATACCCAGCCATTCTTATTTTGTATGCCAGTATTACAATATTCATGTGTATTATTGTTTTATTTAAAAAAAAAAAAATTGGCCAATAAAATATTTGCATTTAAAACTGTCAAGTGTGTGACACAGGTGTTTGCCTAATCTAAAAAGAAATCTATTTTTTTTCTTTGTTAAATTCTTAATTCATTCCACTTTTTTAAAAATAATTTTTTCACTTCTTTTTTATAATATTAACATAATAAATTATTATTATTATTATATATTTATAGTTAGTATTCATATTTAAATGATAACCTTTTTTATAGTACTCCTTTTTTATCATTTCCGTTTCCATGTATTGTGTTTTTTAGACCACAAAAAAAGTGTATAGGCATTTGTTTTTAAAATGTCGCACTTTTATGCAGGGGAACACTTCAGGCAAATCTCCCATGAAAACATAAAAAAAACATGTCGTCCTTCCGCTTCCACTTTACCTCCTCTAACAGGAAAACTACACACTGCTCCCGGGGGAATCAGCTTTCATACAAAGTCAGTCGACCATTTTCATCCTCATGAGCTGCTTCTCCTTCTCCTGGCAACCCTATCACCGGTCCCCATGGTTACTCGTCACGTGACTAGCAACATAAACAATTTCCAAGGGAGCTAAGATTACGGTAGGAAGTAAGCTATAGCCCAACCATTTTACTAACAGCATGTATTACTTATTGCAAGCCTAGCGTTTGGATGTGAGAACGATGGGTCGTTGTTGGCTGGACTTCCCGGGAGTTTCTGAGAGTGGAGCATTATGTCGCAGGAGAGGCAGAAATACGTCTACATTTGAGATATGGAGAGTAGTCCCGGTGCGGTGAGCTGAAAAATGGGAGCAAGCGCTTCTGTGTCACTCTGTGTAAGTTTAGCAACACTAGCTGCTGTCTTATAACATGGCTCCGTGTTTTTCCAGTTGATTTTCGAATTGATTACACCTTGTGTAGGGCAGTTGTACTTGTTAATATAAGTATTAAGAGCAGACTACCTTCTTAGCAGTTTCATTTTCATGAAATACCACACAGAAAGACAGCTGTTGTTGTGAAATGTATCTAATGGATGTAACTTTATTCAGTGGTGTTTACTCAAGTACTGTACTTGGGCTACATTTTAAGAGACTTGTACTTTTCTTAAGTGTTTCAATGTTTTGCTACTTTGTACCCTACTACAATTCAGAGGTAAATCGTGTACTTTTACTCCACTACATTTAGTAAGTCCCTTTAGTTACTTTGCAGATTTTATTAATGTGAAATATAAACCACACTAAATGTAGATTTAGTTACAGCTGAATTGAATTCACAAACTACATTACAGTTTACAAAGTGATTAAAACTAGCCAGCTTTGATAAACAAACGAATGTATCAATCATTATAATCAAAATATATAATATATATTGTTCTGAAATAGGACATTTTGCATTCTTTGTACTTTTACTAGAGAAACATTTTGATTGCAGGACTTTTGTAACATAGTATTCCTACACTCTGGTACTTCTACTTAGTACATGATCTGATATTTAAATGTTTGGACTTGACGATTTCAATATCAAGAATAAAGATATCAAGATGTCGATATCAATAAATATGCCATTGTGTCTTCACTGAGTGTATTATTGTATTGATAATCAGCAAGCGTTTTCACATTTATGACATTGGTCAAGTAATAGAAGTGGACACTTTGTTCCACCGTTCCCCAGCTAATTTAACCTCTTAATAAAACAACATGACACAAAGCAGAGCAATTATGCTTCTGTATTTTTTCCTAGGTCATATATTCAATGTATGTTTCCCTTGAAATGATCCACTATATCTTATAGCCTATTGAAGTTGTACTCCTTAAAACCTACATAATCAAATCTACAGGCAAGACAGTTTTCATGACTTTAGACAGTCATATCTACACAGCAGCTGAATGCATGCTTAACCATTCAAACTGCATTTGAAAAATTCCTCTGTCTTTGTTATTTTGCAACTTGAGATGCATAGCCCACTATATCTTCCTTACAATAAGGACCCTGGGAACATATGAATGACCCCTTTAAAATGTAAGAGACGCTGGAGACGAAAAACTCAATACTTTTCTAACACCTCTGTCTATTCAGTAATGTTTCTGTATATGAATCAGCTGTTGCATGTATGTCCTCTTTCCATGCAGAGCGACACGTCCTCAGTGAGCATCCTGAGGCCCAGTGCTAAGGTCAGCCCGGAGCCCCCTGCCCTCACCCTGGTCTCAAAGCCTGAACTGTCCACAAGGTGTGTGTTTGCCGTTGCCTTAGAAACACTGCGAGAGGAAGGGCAGATGGTCGATGGAATACCCGTTGTCCTAAGAGACATGGTGGAGTTCCTGGATAACAATGGTAATTGAGGCTCATTCTTGCATTCTTAAAGTCCCTTTTAGCACATCCCTTCTCCCTTCATATCCTTCATCATTATCTTGGTCTCTCAAGGAAAACAATACTCAAACATCACCTGTGTGACTACTTGGTTTTGACTTAGGACTGCACCACAGAGGGCTGTTCCGCCTGTGTGGGTCTGCGGTGCGGACCAGGCAGCTGAGGCAGCGCTCAGACTGTGGGGAGAGGGTGGACATGGAGCACGAGGGAGACATCCCCACCGTGGCGTCGCTCCTCAAACTCTTCCTCAGGGAGCTGCCAATCGCCATAGTTCCTGAACCCCAGCGCAAACAGCTGGTTCTGAGCCTCAAAGGTATTTATTTGATTTGATTTAGGAAAGGTCAAAAAGGCACAGTCTTAAACAATGGGCTTCTCTAGTACTTAAGATACAAAAAAGAGAAGTTATGAAAACCAAGTCAACATACATTTAAATGATTAAACAAGATATAAATGACTGCAACAAACACACAAAATGAGCAGAATAAAGTTAACCAATCGGTCAAATAATTGCTCTACAAACAGTTTATCTCCTGGTTTGAAGATAGTCTAAACTCTGATGATTGTGTCTTGAAGCACTAGATTACAAGTCCAATATTTAAAGCCAGAATGAGAACTTGTAGGACGGTTGTTGTTCTTAATCCAATGTTTGGCAGACTCTGTATTTCTTTGAAGGTTTTCATGTTTCCAACACTTCATCTTCAAAACAAATCCTTGCAAAGAAGTAGAAGTGTAAACAGCAGAGTTAAGAGGTCTAAATCGTCTGGTAAATTCTTCAATAGAAGTTCATATCTGGACCAGAAGTGCTAGTATGTATGTCCGGTGTGTTAAAATACCAACTTCCTGAGTCTGGTTATAAACTGTATATCCATACATGCGGAATTCAGTTTAATTAATGTTGTGATGTGTTTGTCTATCTTTAAGGATATGCAAATGAGGCAGAGATGAACCGGTCTCTGAGAGAAAACATTTGCCTCCTGCCTGATGACAACCTCACTATTTTGTCTTACCTCATCCACTTCCTGTCCAGAGTGGCCGCTCACAGAGAATATAATCACATGCCTGTGGAAAATCTGGCAACAATCTTCGGGCCTTGCATATTTCAGTAAGTTGTTGTTGTTACGGCCACATTTTAAGACCTGAACTTGGACACGATGTCCCTCTAATCAAATCAGTACGCACTGTGTGTTTACTCTGACATCAAGCTTAAAACCGTTTTTAGACTTTTCAAAGTATTGCTTTTCCCACCGTTTTGAAGAAATATACAGCTGGATTTCTCTAAAAGTGTAATCAAGAACAATGTAAAGGTCAGCAAATGAGAGTGCAGATGTTTCCTGCACAATCAATGGTTATGGTTGTTTGTCGTAGTAAAATACAGATGTAGAGAAAAACCCCACTTTGTTAGTTTCTCATGAAATCAACCAACCCAGTTCTGGTCCCATTAAAAACTTTCTGCAGCACTACGTTTGGGTGGATTCACGTTTGTCCCTAAAGGAAATGGGTGTGGATGCAGTTGATGGCACACAAAAATCCGACTGATTATAAAAGATGTCATCAGGATTTTATCTCCAGCTTCTCCCCCTCCTGTTTACAGAACATAGCCATCATTGTAAACAACCACAATCTCTAGGGAGACACACTCGACAATTAGATTTGTATGGTTGGAAAGGACATATCCTACGTCGTCAACACCCATTCAACCGCCCCCATCCCTTGATCTCCCAGTCTATCTATGTCTGCTCTGTTCCAGAAGTGAACAGCATGTCAGTGGAATGTGGTGTTAGTCACACCATACAATTCTACATTTGAAGGGAAAATGTCATTTGATTATAGTTAAGGGGAAGAAAGAGTTGGCATTAGATGCTTGGAAAAAGTTAGGGGTGGGTCTTGCAGCGGAGAGTTGGAGACTGTCCTTTGCATTTCTTTCTGGATTTACATCTCACATAGAAAGAGAATAATAGTGTAATAGTTGCTTTTACCAAGATTGAAAAGATATTGCCATCAATCCCACATAAATGACTTGGTGTGACAGACAGTGTAGCACATGTTCGTGCCATGCAGCATATGTGACAGCTTCTTTGGCCCCCACCCAATAACTCATGCATGTTTGTCAACCAAGACTCCCAACAGCTTGTTCCCCGTTATGTAATCCATGTGGAACACTTCTCCTTTCATCCCTGTGACCCGCCTGCCACGTAAACACACATCTATTAATACTCACATGTTTCACATTCTCTTCCCTGGATGAATGCTATGTTAACCTTTACCTAACATGCAAACATCATAAACATCCTTAATATAAAGTGGATGATGTCAACAAAAGCATGTTTATCTAAATAAATAGCTGCTTCCAGGTAAACATGTGGAGACTATTTAAGGTGGCGCTTATCTCTGTATCGTAAATATAATGACCAGAAGCTGCACATATCTCTGAAATGTGGAAGTTGTCATTGTCACAGTGAAATTATACAATCAACTTTTTTCATTTTGGTTAGTGGGTGATCGGTGATGGACTTTCCCGAGTGTAAGACTTTGATTTACCTCATACTGCAGTTTATCTCAGTTCACTGCTGCCTCCTTCCACTAGGTGGAGCCCTTTCCATTGTGTTTTTTGCACTACATATAGTAGTACTGCATGTGTGACATTGTGATGTGTTTCTGTATGCAGTGTTCCTGCAGGACCCAGGATGCTGGACGACCAGAATGTGTGTAATGCCCTGTTGCACCATCTCCTGAGGCACCACCACGATCTATTTCCAATCCCAGCCGAGGACACAGTGGCCTCCTCCATTTCCTCCTGCTCCCCCCCTCCTCCTACCTTATCCGCCCTTTCACACTTTGAGGTGAACCATGTGTTTTTTTTCTATCCTTCATCGTAAATTGTTTCTCACTGATCAATTGTTGTCATCTGTCTTGTTACACTTTGTGATTTCAATGCAAAATTAATCAACAAGCACACAGTCTTTATCAACAACATAACTATCTCATCTGTGCACAGTCTATGACATTTACAAAGGTCCTAAAATTGTTGTTTTGCCTGTCGTAACTAAGATTATTCATAGATATATTTTCATATAAGGTTGCAGGCCTTCGGGAGATAACACAGTGGGCTTGTAAAAATAATAATAATAGCACGTGGAAGTTTTATAGGGTGTTTATCAGAGTTTGAAAGCGAGAGTGAATAAGTGAGTTTGGAGAGATTTGTTGGTGGTTTAGCCCTTTTTAATGTAATCTGCACCATCAGACCTGCAGCAAACTTATACTGCTGAACATGATAGCCATGGAGCTTAGCCGCTCATTTTATTCCAGGTCATGCTCAATGATTTATTACCCTACTAGGTGTTAATGACATACAGCAGGTAAGTACTGCCAAACTATGGTGTAAATATCAGTAATTTCATACTCTTTATAAATAATGATTGGCCGTAGTCCAGTATAACCATGAAAACTGTATTACATTGCAGTCCCTGACCTTGAGGTTGTGTTGCCTCTATAGAGATTTGAGTATTGACCCTTTTTATCCTTGGTAGCTCCAATCCAGCAGCTGTCACTCAGAGCAGAGCAGTGTGCAGAGGACGGAGGGAGAGACCGCTTCACTGTCAGCGACCAGTGGTGTTAACCAAACGATACAGAGGCGTTTCCAACTCAACAGGTACCATCATTTAGCATCAGTGACTTTGTAACTGCATAGATATACAGATATGAATTACTAGTGTTCATGGAACTGAGCCTTAGCCACAGTTAATGTATCACTGAACATTCATTTGGTGTGAATATAAACCATCCTCTCCCTTCAGATATATTCTACTGCGAGAATAATTAGGAGTTCTTCCCCTGTAGCATTTCACTCCAGCATCGTTTAGCCAGTTGTCAGGTTGATGGTTCTATCACTGAGACTAAACATCACTCACAGTGAATTAGGGCCAACTTCTGGAGGTTTCTTTCACTCATGGAAGTCAAAAAAGATGTCCAACTGTGTCACAAACCCACGGCAGGAACACATCCAGTATCTGTAGTCAACAGAAACAAGTGCAGTTGCCTGTAAAGCTGCCTTTCATTCATGTAAAAACTAACATCAAATTGTTTTTAATTGAAGATATAGATGGGTGGAAGAATTGCTTCCCCAGCTAATCTACATACTAGCTGACATCTGCTTTTGGGGAACGCTTCCAACTCATAATGAACTCGGAGGCCACGGTGCTATTTTTAAATCCTGAAGGGTTGCCACAAGGTTGCAGACATCAGATGTCATTAATATATTTTCTTTTTTCGTCCACCCGTAGACAGCATGTGACATGGCCATGCACTTGCTGATTAATTGTGTGGCTGTCTACCATGTATGTGGGTACAGTTGTGTGTCTGGTGTCTTAATGTGTTGATGGGAATTCTGCCTGAAGCTAACGGAGATAAAGACGCTTCACCACATGCTCTGTGGTATTGGTTACATTTGTTATGAAACAGATCTGCCATCGGTGGAATTCAGGTAATTAAGACAGTAAGTGAAAACAAACAAGCATGAGGAATTGCTAATAAAATCCTTGTGAACTACAGGCAACATTTGATATGAGGGTTTACGAAGATATGGCACATCACGGCAGCCAGATTTAAGACTGATCAGGCTGTATTTTAAAAATACTCACGTGTCTCAGTTTAAAGAGCACAGGTTCAACAGGTTGCATAACATTTCCTGTGTGTGTGTGTGTGTGTGTGTGTGTGTGTGTGTGTGTGTGTGTGTGTGTGTGTGTGTGTGTGTGTGTGTGTGTGTGTCTCACATGACTAGGGTTATTGGCCGTCCAGGTTTTGCATAACAGAAAATAGACGGACACTTCAATTTCTTTCCACAGCTCATGTTGATGCACTCCAGCTGCCCACCTGCCAAATGGCTGTTGTTTCTCTCCGTTTTAAAATCAGTCACATGTCAAGCTGCAAGGAAAGGTTCTGCCATGCCTGTTCTCATCGCTTCTAAGTGTTTGGTTTTTTAACACTCACAGAGCAAACAAATATCAATCATTTTTCATTTAACAGCTTCCCACTCTCATCTGTTAGCAGGCAGAAGATGCTGCCTCCTCCCAACTGTCTATCTTTCTAGATAATAGAGATTATATTGTCTGAAATCTAAGACACAAAACTTTGTCACTTTCACAATCAGAGCAAGATTAAATAACTATAAAACATTGAATGATTTGATTATTAAATGATGTCCTTCAATTCAAGACCAGCAGCGAAAGACCGAGGTAGCCATATTCCTCATGGTTCCTTTGTTAACAATGTTAGCCTTTGACTAAGTTTGGCATTAACAAATACAAATTGGCCCTTTTCTGGTATTTGCTTCTGCACATGTCGGATTGGGTTTTGTCACTGGGATGTTGGTCTTTCCCCGAAAAGGCACAAGCTTTTGGGTATGGTCAAGTCTAGACCTCTATGCTGACGTCTGGCACTAACGTCACAGGCCAATATTGATTCGAGTCTAATTATACCTACAGGGGGTTTGATTTCAAAACAGGTATCTGTTTTCTGTGTCTTACCAGTCACACAAGATCTAGTTCTGAGAAAAAGGTCAGAGGGTTTTTAGTAAGCTACTTTTCATCAATAGTAATATACAGCAAATGTCAAGTGTTACATAATGGGGTCTGTTGGTTGAATGAGTAATTATTGTTTTTTTAAACCAGTGTTGACATCAGGAGATAATGCTAATATCAGTCAGCATTTATACTGATGTGTTTGAGTGTGACATTAGGGCTATTAAATTACTTTGGAATGGGGCCGGTTGATGAAAATGATCCAAGCAAGGGGCTGAGAAAAAGATGGCTTGAAATATGAGCAATCATATTAAGAGCTTCAGATACAGTAAATACTACAACAGCATAGTGGAGTGCATATATTGTGTTTAATTAAATCAAAGGCCTTTATATATCTAAATGGCAAGTTCAGAACTCATTAGGCCTACATGTGAAGCTAATTTAACCATCAACATCATTTAATCTGATTTAATGTAGGTGAAATTATCTAATCATTCACTCAGAGATGCAATCAATAACAGGAGTTGTCACTACAGTGGTTGGCAGGTGAAACCCGAGCCTGCCGAAGTTTTCAGGCTAAGTCTTCCCCTCTATCTCTCAATTTAACACCCTCTCTGGAATAAAGGCACTCTGGCCCAAACAAAAACTAAAATTAAAAATGTGATTACTTTTTAACATTATACTCAAAGGGCCAGTAGATATCAGCCCTGCTGTATTGTAGTGATATATTTAAGTGCTGTTTTATCCGAGTATATATGTGTATGTTAGCATTTGAGTTGGAACTGTGTGTAATGGTGTATGTGTGTGAAGTTGTGACATATGAGTGAGTGTGTGCACCGGTAATTGAAGGGGGGGGTGTGACACTTGTGTGTTGTTGACCATCAAGAAGTCATCCTCTTTTCTTTCTTTTCTTTCTACCTTTGGAATGATCTGTCCTCTGAAGGCAGCAAGCTGTCCACTGTCGTGTGTAAATCTGTATGCTACACCGCTGTGAGTTTAGATGTTTTGGCGAAGGATGTTTTCTTGTTGCGTCAGTGATAACAACCAAAGGGCTGCAACCCTTCACAAGTGAGTGAGATAAAGCACGTCTGAGACTCAATGTAGCTGCTTAATGTCAATAATGCTTAAACTATTCCTAGCATGCTGTTATCTACACATAAATAAAGCTGCGGTTTGAGAAGCAGAGGCTAAAGTGTGCATCTAGCACATCAACAGTGTTAACATTAGATTTACCGTCTGCAGTTGTTTTGAAACCTTTCTTTTTAATTAAGCTTTTTTAGGATGGAGATTTTTTGAGGAAGTTTGCCTTGCAGCAGAAAAGTAATTTATGTTCATAATGCATTCAGCTGTTTGCCCTAAAGGCAGCATTGGGCTGCTGACCCGTGTGGTGCTGCAGGTTACAGATCTGGAGTCACACAGCGCTTTGAGCGGGAACGTGACCTGGTTGTTTTTGGTTCACGTCACAGCAAATCGCTCGTGCTTGTTATTGCTTGGAGCATCTCATCCGAACTTCATGTGTCATAGTGTAGCTTCAGATTAAACGCTGCTGACTCGTGACCTGCTGGATGTTACCTGGCGCGGAGGCCAGCAGTTTATTCTGGGTTTCATTTGTTGGACATCTACTCCTGTTAGTCCTGAGATATGCAGACTGATACAAAACACATTTCCAATTGCATTTGCCTTGAAGTCAATTGATAAAGTTGTGTGAATTATTCGGAGGCCCCTATAACGGGTTGTACCAACATTTTATTCATATTATTTTTCTTGTGATTTATGAACTGTTCATACGTTATGATATAACTTATGAAGCCTTTTAAAAAAGCATGCCTCATTAGAATCCGATACTTTCTTGTCTCCTCACCTCCTCCTGTTTGTGCACACCTCCCTCTATTTCTGTCTCTCCTCAGTCCTGACACACAGGCTTGTGAAACCAGCTCTGACGTCAGCGCTGACCTTCAGAAGCTGATTCCAGACCAGCAGCCTCTGGAGGAGAGCACAGAGGCGGGCTGGGTGATCTCCACCCCCTCTGACCCCGGGCCAGAGCGACACCCTCACCAGAGCAGACCACCGAGAAGCCTCCAGAAGTGTACCACCCAACGGTAGGCTCTTTTTCTTTTGTGACACACAAGTGATGTGGTCACCTTGTAACGATGTAACAAGGGGACCAAAGTGTTGCAAGTGTTTACTACATTTTAAGAAGATAAGAAGCATTTGCCGACCTACTTCGTCCTCAAACATTTTGGAACAGGAAATGTGTGACTCCTCTAGTTTATTGAGTGTTTCTTTATCAACAGGACCTCTTCGCAGTACACGGCGCCACTACGGAATGAGAGCGAGGGGGAGGAGGATGAAGAGGTAGAGAAAGAAAGCACATTTCCCCCTCACCTTAGTTTAGCACTCACTGATTGTTTTCTTCTCTTTACTTTCAAATATTTCTTAATTCCTACTTTCTCCCCATTTCCCTCTCAAAAGCCAAATATAATTCAGCAATAACAGTTATCTCTCAAATGTGTTATATAACCATAGACATTTGGTCCACCTTTTTTGTACAGCAAAATACATCTTATGCAGTGTTTAGCACGATTTCACCTCATCATGAACGGTTCTTTATCATGGACTGAATTGTTTTTCAGGCTCCCACCGATGCGGTGCAGAAAGCTTCTATTTCAGACCGCTGCACAGCCTCTGAATCACAGAGCATCACACCGACTCACCGCACACAGAGGTGAGAGGAACATTACCGCAGGAAGACTACACACCATGACATGTTTCGGCAGTCCTGCTTTCCTCTATTGTTTTAGAGCAGCCATCTTTTGCTCATTGGTCTTGGCAGATAACATCCAAGTGGAATAAGAATCCATCATTTAACCCTTTTTAAATCAGCCAGTTAAAGGTGGGGTAGGTAATTCACTTCAGAAACACTTTTTGTTATATTCCACGGAATGCTCTTAACATCCCGATAGCAATGAATACATTAAGTGCTTTGACAATAAACACATTTCATCTGTGGAAGCCGTGGCACTTTAAAAAGCACGACCAATCATCTGAGCCGGCCCGGCTAAAATAACTGGATGGCCTACCTGCCTGTCAGCCTTCCATCTCGTGCACAAACTTATCTCGTGCCCTCATTGGTCATGTGCGCGTTCATGTGTGTTGGAGGAGGGGCTCTGTAAGGAAGTCTGAAGGAAGAGGCAGATTGTTTCCGGTTGCATACTTTCAAATTGTAGCGCACTCGAGCTGGTTTCTCCATTCTACCCTACCTTTAAAACTTAATCTGAAAACACAATCTCAAGTCAAAGAAAAGTATCTAAATAAAAGGGGCCATGATAATACTTTGGAGCTGTTTTAAATGTATCTAAATGAGTATTATCTGATTTCTTTGGATGCTCCGCGGTTCCTCTCTGTTCAGTTGAGAAGTATGTTGTCAGAGCCGAGTGCTGCTCACAGTCATGGTTTTGATATACACTGAACAAAAATATAAATGCAACACTTTTGTTTTTGCTCCCATTTTTCATGAGATGAACTCAAAGATCTAAAACATTTTCTACATACACAAAATAAGCATTTCTCTCAAATATTGTTCACAAATCTGAAANCCCTTCTCTCCTGCATGTTGAATAATCCATGTGGAGGCAGCTCAGCAGCAGAAAGCCGGTCAGGAGGAAACGCCATGTGGAAGTGAGGGATTCTCTGTGAGGACAATACTCCGGCGGACCCACAAACATGATCTGAGAATCACAGCGACACTGCTAATGGGATTACTGCGTGATGATCGCCAGGGATCCCACGCTGTATGCTGATGCCCGACAGCTAGTCAGAAGAGGAATGTGCTGATTGTGATGACCATTTGTAACGGACTGGATCAAAGATTGGCTTTTGCTTTTCAATAACTTTGATCCTACTCCTTCCTTTTCTCTCGCACTTCCAGCCACCCACGAAAGCAGCCTGCTAAAAGAGATGTATGCACTTTAATCCGACTCATTCCTTTTCTTCGCGAGGACAAGGGAACCACTCGTCTAACCTCTTCCTGCCACTCTCTTGCCAACGACTTCCTCCTCGCAGACTACGGCACATCTCTCTGACTTCTCCTGTCGCTGAAGCCATGTTCTGCTTCTGTTTCCAGAGTCCCTCTCTCAAGATGCAAGCCCTGGAGGCTGACTCGGGACCCCCGTCTTCCCCTACAGACCCCCAAGGTCAGGATTACCTCCCTGCTCAAACACAGCCTCTTTCTACTGAGGAGCAGAGCCTGGTTCTGACCCACAAGCTGCTTCTCCCCTCGCCGCCGTGCACACCGGCTCAGGACCGGGAAGACCCTCCACAGTCTGGTAAGTCAAAAGCAATGAAGTGCTGAGACACTGAACTGACAGTGGTAACGATCAAGGTATTTTCAGCTCCCATTGTAGAGAACCAAACCCATACCCATACTCACTGTATATAGTAACAACATACAGTATGTACATAATGTATCAGTGCTATTATTTATAGTGTCTGATTCATCATCTGTTCATTTAAAGCCTTGTCCTAGATGCTGTTACTCCTTTGGCTCACAGTGAATAAAGCTTTGTAAATCTTGACAGCGAGCTTTGAGCTTCATCATATCTCAGAGCTGGGTGTGTCTTTATTTGATGAGTCGACTATATCAAGGTATGATGCTGTTACTGTTGCGTCAACGCACAGCCGCCCGTGACATGATGAATTTGTACATTTATTCAATAATGCATAATAATGTCTCTGTGCTGGCTAAACATTACAATTGAGTGTAGTTTTTATTACCATAGAGATTATAACAGATATGTGTGTTCACTGTTCTTGTCAGAAAAACCAAAAAAGTGTATACCCCAGCAAAGATGTTGAAAAAACGGTGTTTGAAATACTTTCTTCTCATTCTTTATGTTTCTCTCTTTTACTCTCCATACCTTACGCCTTTTTGTTTGCTTCCTATCTCCTTCACCTACCATGTCTCTCCCTCCCTTACATCGATCTCTTTTGTCCCGTCGATTCTCCTATATTAAGTTATTATAAATTACATTTTTAAACCCAAATGAGAAATAGTCAAAGTTATTATAGACATTTATATGTTCTTCTTTCCTACAGGGCACTCCCCCTCCCCTGATTCCTCAGAGTTCAGTCCTGTCCTGTACACCAGCCTGCTCTCTGAGGGGTCTTCAGGAAACGACCCCCTGCCCATCCTCCCGGGCCCTAAAACCAGCCCGCTGCTCTCTCGCTTTGCGCTGAGCGACTGCCCCGTCCCCTCCCCACGCTGCCCCAACCTCAGCCACAGCCTGCGCTACAACCTGGACCCCGATACGGCCCCTTCCCCACCGTGCTCGCAGCACATACGCATGTGAGTCAACTGTTTCCTCCAAAACGTTATTTAGGAATAATGGCACACAGACAGGAGAGTGGGACATTGTATTTCTTTGCTGTGCTTCTTCAATGCCTTTCATTTGAGATGAAAGGTTAACATGCATGTTGTGAGTTATGTTATCATGGAACTGAATGCTTCTTGCTGTCTTCAGGACTCGCAGCAGTGTCCACTCGGAGCCACGCGAGGGCTCTGTCTCCGTCTCAGCGCTCAACAGACACATTCACACTCTGAAGAAGAGGATCAGGCGCTTTGAGGAGTGCTTTGAACAGGAGAAGCACTATAAGGTGAGGGGAGGAACAGGAAATGCTTCGTCAGCGAGATTCTTCTGTGTCATCATCTGATTGGAGTTTATTTCCTCAGAGTGTGAGGCTCAGTGTTTTTTTCCTAAGCCAATAACGAGCTCGAGCCATGGGGAGGATTATTGTTATTATTATTATATTTGTGTGTGTGTGTGTGTGTGTGTGTGTATTACCGTGTGTAAATTACTTATTATTAGTTACTACTTGTTTAAATTCTCAAATGATACTGTGGCTTCTTATAACAAACATTATTAAAGGGAGAATATTTCCCTCTGCTGGTACATTGGAGAATTGTAAAAAATGTAAATATTTTACACAAAGAGTCTTTATTAAAGGTGGGGTAGGTACATTTGAGAAACCGGCTCGAGATACACTTTTTGTTATATTCCATGGAATGCTCTTAACATCCCAATAGCAATGAATATCTGAAGTGCTTTGACAACAAATACATACAAAAATGTCATCTGTGGAAGCCGTAGTAAAAAGCATGACCAATCACCTGAGCCGGCCCGGCTAAAATAACTGGATGGCCTACCTGCCTGTCAGCCTTCCATCTGTGCACAAACTTATCTCGTGCCCTCATTGGTCATGTGCGCGTTCGTGTGTTGGAGGAGGGACTCTGTAAGGAAGTGGCAGATTTTTTCCGGTTGTGTATTTTCAAATTCTAGCGCACTCGAGCTGGTTTCTCCAAAATGACCTACCCCACCTTTAACTGGTTGCTGCTGCATGTTGGTGCTCAATTATAATTCGCCCAGACCAGGGGATAAAGTAGAGTTCTTGGTAGGTGATGCAGGAGACCCTGTTCTGTCTCTGAGTTTTTATTTATTTCTTCTTTTTCTTTTAGCCTGCCCACAACGACAAGACTGCTCATCCGGAGGTGGCCCGACTGATGAAGGAGCTCATCAAGAGTCGCAAGCAGCTTAAAGGTCAGTTTTCATAACCATAAACACACACTCACACACATGAATTAATGATGAAGGACATTGATTCAGAGCCAGTACAACAACATAATACATATTCCATTACATTCAAATATCTCAACACTTGTTTTTTGTATTGGGTCACAAAATAAAAAAGGTTTGCATGCACTTGTTCATATGGCTTAGTAGTACTCTCCGAGGTATTTTCTAATCAATTATGGCATTTCAATGGAATGAAATTTAACTTAATGTTATGAATACAGCCTATGTCTTCAAATGCTTTTCAATAGCATGCTCATTTTAGTCAAGTAATATCCGTAATATCTCAATTATCCTTTGAGATAATCCTCTTCAACAATGCTAAGTAACATGTGATGTTAAAATAATAAACGCACCATAGTTCCTGATAAATTGAAAAAAAGTCAAATATGTCTGGTTGAGTACAAAGAAGTTTACAACATTTTAATGATGACTGTACTTGAATAAATGCACTAGATTGCTATCCACCACAGAATAATTTCACCATTTCAAAAATATGTTTACCAGACAACCAACGTCTCAAATTGTTTCTGTTTTTAATTTCAAAATGTTCTGAACTCTCGTCCTCTTCCAGAGCTGAAGCTGAGACAATCAGAAGGGGGGGTGAAAGGTCAGGGAGACTTTAACCCGCCATCTGAAACACGCAGAACCAACTCAGACCAGAGGGAGGCAGCACCGACAGGCACTGAGCTGCAGCAGCTAAACAACAACAGCAACATCAAAGCTAACGTGGAGGAAACGGTCAATACTATATCCAACAGACTGAAGGAGAGACGCAGAGAGCTGGGCCTGCCCGACAGCGCCAAGGTTAGCAGAAACACTTTCAAACACATCAATTATAATATAGGTTTGGTGATCTCATTGTCAGTGTTTCTGACCATGCATACATGTATTTATCTGTGGCTGTTTTTGCAGGAGATGTCCTATTTCCAGATGACTATGGAGAAGACCAGCCTGCAGAAGTGTTTGCTGCATTTTGAGGGTCTGCACGGACGGCCGGTGAGACTTCCCTTCATGCTTATGTCTTTGAATTAGCTGGCTCCACTTTGGTACTGTATCTCACTTCTTCTCATTGAATAATCGGTTTCTGTATCATTCTCCTCCAGAGCACCAGACAGGAGCGGACTCTGATGAAACCTTTCTACGACCGGTACCGTCTCCTGAAGCAGCTGCTGCTCTCTGCTGCTGCTGCCACAGTCATACCAACCATTGTGAGTATACAACGAATACTGAATACAAAAAAGAAAGAATGATGGAGTCTGATACACAACGGAAATAACCCAAACCCACTTTATGTCACTTATGTCTACTACGCTATTGAAGTGTATTTTAGTCCCTTCGGGTTTAAAAGCATCAGCTAAATAAATGTTAATATATAAATAAATCTGACCCTGGCACACAGAAGTGTCTCTCTGCTGCTCTCTAGTGGACAGATGTGAGAACTGCACCAAACTGTTAGACCTCAGTTTTAGTTAAAGACAATAAAGGCAAGATGGATACAGCTGAAATCTTGCAGTTTACGACTAAGTAGTATTCAATTAAATATTAAAAAGCTATTTCCGGACTAGCTCCCAAAACACTAAACAGAGTCCGTTACAACATTGATGTGTTTGCCCTGCGTTTCTGTGTTCACAACGACAGAATAGTGATTCCTCTTTGTTCACGTAGGAGGAAGAGGAGGGCTCTGATGAAGATCATCCCAAACAGCGTAGCCCGAGGCTGCAGCCCCTCCCACTGAAGCCCCCCAGCTGTGTGTCTTCAGACGACTCGCTGCACCTTCCTTCTTTAGAAACGTCTGAAACGCCTCTCGTGTCCCCGCTGGAGGAGGTGAAGTGTTTCCAGCCACAGATCGTCACCATGGCAACACTACATGAAGCTTCCAGGTGTGTGTGTGTGTGTGTGTGTGTGTGTGTGTGTGTGTGTGTGTGTGTGTGTGTGTGTGTGTGTGTGCATTTAAATAGGTTTAGGCATATATTGATTGATCTATATCCTTTCTATCGTGACCAGGATAATCATCTTAGATTGTAATGTCGTCCCATGCCTTATTGCAGGATTTTTTAAGAGGAAGTTTGTTTTCAAAGAAGAGCTTGTATCTTGCTTGAAACTATGAGTTATCATCTTAACTTTAAATGCACACATTTCTAGACGATCTAAAATAATGAAGACATTATTTTCTGCTCTCTCACAGACCAGAATTACTGGATCACCTCAGGACGGCTCGGTCAGAGAGACACCGACTTCACCGAGCGCTCCGAGAGTTTGAGGAGAACTTCCACACACAGACTGGCAGGTAAAGGTCACACACACACACATACATACATACATACATACATACATACATACATACATACATACATACACACCACACACTACTTGGCTTTTGAATTTTATTTTCTCTTTTAATAAACTTGAAACATTTGGTTTTCAACAATGCCTTGTGAAAAACAAAGAAAAAACATCCACAAAAGAAATCCCATCTTATGGTACGACAGTGTAATGCACGCACGTTAATACCGCACAGAGAGCTCGGGAAAGAGACGGACGTTTGCTCTGTTAACGTCCTTTGTACTGTACATGTTAGTCCTCCAAAGTAAATACAGTAAGATTACAATACACACTGTACAAAGCTATCTGAGTAAGGCAACATAGGGACTATCAACCAGTTATGGAAGCTGCTGCAGTTTGTTGGAAACTACTGAAGTTTTGCCTTGTGTTTGCATCTTTTTTTCTTTGTGTTTCGCTAACAGGTTCTGTCAGAAGGAGGACCGGGGGCCAATGGTGGAGGAGTACTGCCAGTATAAGAGCCTCAAAGCTAAGCTCCGCCTCCTGGAGGCCCTGCTCAGTAAACGGGACTCAACCAAGAGCAGCTGAGTGACTCACAGTGGGACTTTATCGGACTCAATCCTTTATGAAAATCAGGTTCTGAATCTTGTGGTTCTGGTCTTGTTTTATGTCATATTCTGTTGACGCACTTTACATGAGGAAATTGGTGACCAACTTAATGAAATGCAGCATGACTGCGTTTTTTTTTTTGTCCCAAAAGATCCTTTGTCATTATGACACATCTTAATATAAACCTGATGTAGCAAGTGTATTTAATGTAGCACTAATTTATGTCAGGGGTGACTGCTGTAACGACTTGGTGTTTGTTACATGCAAGTTATTTTATTCACGCACATTATGCCACTTTGTAACTTGCTTTCCTTCTTGCACAAACACTCCTTCAGGACAGCTTTGCCCAAAGCGGAAACTGCATTTTCTTAAAAAAAAGTGCTTTCTTGGCAAACAATGTGTAAGCTTAAATGCAATCAATGAGACAATCCTGTGGTGTTTGTACATGTCAGTTCTTCAATCCTACATTGTGCTATGATATGCATTCGTATTTTTATAATTGTGACCATTGAATTGACATGTTCACTTTGGAAAACATGTGAACGTTGGTGAAGCTTGGCATGTAGTGCAACTTCTCTCTGCTGTCAGATTGGTGTTTACCCCCCCACTTTGCTTGTATGAAGTTATTTCCCTCTAAATGCAGTTGTTGACAATGATCAGAGCCTTCGACATTGTGCACTTCTGGTTTATATAATTTTCTATATATGAATGTATCAATAAAAATAAATATTTTTTCACATTTATTCTGCTCAACACAGTTTATGGTTCTACTTTCTTTCTTTTCACAGACTACATTTAAATCAAAGCGGCTGTAGCAGAGCTGGTTGCTATGGTAGAGGTACTGACAGCTTTCATCCTCATGCTGCAGAGAGCTGCATCATGCTTTTTTCTCATTTTAGAGGCTGTTGCATTAGTTCCGTTAAAATTCCACAGCAGTTTCACGTCTGGGTTTTAATACCTTTGGTATAAAGAAAGATGACTATCGATGCTGCAGCCCTAGAAAATTGTGGTTCCAGTCTTTGCCACTAGTAGAAGGTAAAAAAGAATAGTCTGAAATGCTCTACTGAAGAATGAGAAGAAAACATTTCTGAATCAAAGAACAGTCAAAGGAAACGACTAAATGCTCGTCCACACAGACAGTGGACCCTCAGGATAACAATACAACAAGGCATTAACAAAATAAGTGTATAAAGTAAACACAGCAAATGGAATAGGAGCAGACCGTTGTTAGTACAGTTAAAGGGTTTCAGTGTTGACTTGCAGGATGGATGAGCTGTGTTGGTGTCCCAGGTTTCTATGACTCAGTTATGCGTGGTATCTTAGCTTATGTTTTCAACATTTAGGGAAACCCTTTTCAGATGAGGAGACGGCAGTGTAGGTGTCAGTGTGTACCTTCCTCTTTTTTTGTATCGTCCACTCTTTGGGATGATGTTCTTGTCAGAGTACAGAGCGGTGTCAGATATGCTGCATGTCTGGGAGCCTACTAAATCTGCTGCTTCATGCATGTGTTGGTCTGCTTGGTCAGTACATGTGGTCTTCCTGTGTGTTCCGAGGTCAGTCCTTCCTCCTCTACATCCTTAGCGTCCCACACTGATGTTGCAGGTCTTGCAGCTGGGGTCCTTCTTGGCGTTCACCGTGGACATGCTCATCAGCTGGTGCCCGTTGATCTCCGCCACCGAGCCTATCGCCAGGTCGACGGGCTCCGTGTAGATCACCTCCAGGATCACGTCCTGGGCGTGATGGAACACCAGACTCCCGTCTTCTTCCTGCTTGCAGGTGAGGAAACTGTTATTGGAGAGGTCAAGCGCAGGAAGCCTCCCCTTACAGAAGTCGTCCCCCGCGGAGCCCTTTGGCGCCAGGACCACGATGACGAAGTGGTACGCCGTGTACATGCAGTAGAAGTCTCCAAAGTACAGGTTGGTGTCGAGGTTGAAGAGCGAGTCGGCCTTCACCTCGAAGCGCTGGCGGCCGTAGGGGGAGTCCTGCGGGGGCTTGCCCGTGTTGAACTCTGTGTTGCAGCTGAAGAAAACCCCCTCCAGTTTGCCGCTGATGGGGGAGCCGTGGCTGCCGCTGTTGTCTTTCACCGCCTGCAGCATCATGTTCCCCTGATCCTCCCTGGAGGGTAGAGAAAAAGGAAATTGGTTGTGAACAAAAACATGTGAATGGTAAAGAGTAGAGATGTCCCGATCCGATCACGTGATCGGGGATCGGAGCCGATCACGTGATTTTCAAAAGATCGGAAT